CAGAGATTGATTAATGAAGAAATTAACACAATAATAAGTTTGATTATCGAGCTATTAACAGACGTTATGGAAGAAAATATCAATTTAGATCAATTTCTAGTCTGTTTAGATAACATTCCAGATCCGACAAACGTGTTAAATGCAAGTTCCTTGAAAACCTGTAATCCATATACTCCAACTTATTAAAATCTGATGTGTAATTATCGAGATCCTGCATTTGAGTTATACTATTTTCTTTAATTTCTTGTTTAATTAATAATTATCTGAACGGCGAAATTCGATCAAATAATCAACTTATTAGACAGTATCGAATGAGTCATTTGTAGTAACCTGCGTTCCCTAGTGGCCAAAACTCTCTCTCCTACATCGTAATACATAATTCCCTAGACCCTTAGTATAGTCCGTGCTCTCGGCGCCCTCCGAGGTATAGCCGGTGTATACAGGTTGCCTCACAAAAAGTAGAGAGCGCCCTGTTCTTTCTGACCTAGGAATAGAGAGAATAGGAAGGTCACCCAGACGTGACAAAAACGACAGCCCAGGCGTTATCACCAGCGGAGAAACCTCCTGTCTTAGTATAACATCAAGTAAAAATAATTTTCCTTAGCTCTAAGATAGCTTAAATCTCCTATTCTTTAATAAATGATTATATTCAACTACATTATATAAACAAACACACCCCTGTAGACGGGCAATCATAAAAACAAACTCGTCCGGAAGAAGAAGCGTATTCACTCATCACTAAATAAGAAATATAAAAAGGTCGTGAGTTCCTTAAGAAATTCTAACGAGATTATCTGGAGATAAACCCTTACCTGAGTCTCAAGAGATAATCTCTTTTCTGATTTACTTCAAGATTCAAGATTAATTAATAACTTTTAAAATAATATAGAACCTTTATCTCCCATCTTTATCGAAGAGCTTGATAATATTATTAATGAACTAATAGAATCATTGAAGAATTCTAATTAAGACGTTACACTATTCAAAGACCCGATCTTCCAGAAGTTTCATTATCAGAATTATTAGAATCAGGACCACCAGAGGTTCACTTTGAAATTGACGATTATCCAACATATTTCAATCTTTAATAATTCAAATTCATAAAATAATTATTTATTCTAAATGCTTAAATCCTTAATAATTGAATACGACCTAATATTAGTATTAATACTTATTAATTTGCTATCTAATTATCTAAATAGAAAATTAGACTTCGAGTTATTGCTAATTCTCTTAGAAATTATCAGACGTCCTTGAGAATCCATTCGCAATTCCCATAATTCCCTAGATCTGAAAAGTCAGTTCCAGCTCTCGAGGTACCCAGGATATAGTTGATGCATGCAGATTGCCCTAAAAAATAGAGAGCAATCCTTTCTTCTCATACCTAGAGTAATAAAGAAGAAAAGAAAGTCGCCAGGACGTGACACTTGGGTGACAAGTTTTTGTATGCCTGAATAGCCAAGCATCTTGTATGCCCGAGTCACCAAGCATCTCGTATGCCTGGTCGACAAGCTTTTGAATGCCTGAATAGCCGAACATCTTGTATGCCTAATTGACAAGCTTTCGTATGCCTGAATCGCCGAGCATCTCGTATGCCCAGTGAAGAAACATCTAACGTTGCCAGTTGCCAGATAACACATCCTCTTCCTAATTATTTTTCAAGTTACCAACAAGAGACATCATTTATATAACTATTTAACCTTTAATTAAATAATCTGATAAAAAATGTTCTTCTCCTTCGCCAAGCTCCCTTACATAGCTTACTAACTTGTAATCAATTCCTCTGTAAATGTGGAACCAAAAATCAAAGAACGCAATCCAAAAAAAAAGAATCATAGAGCAGACGTTAAAACCTGTGTTGCCGCCTTTCATTTACGCTGGTTCATTCGAAAAACTAATATAAACAAACCGTGCATTAAGTCAAACAAAATAGTTTGTCTGTCTCCAAAAACTGTGCGTCGGTTAAAAACTGCATCCACTCTAATTAATCTTAGCAAACCTCTACATAAAGAATTGAGTGCCAACAAATTAAATTGTTAGGAAATTACTAATAACATTAACAATCATGACTATCCTAATTATCCTTATATACCCATCCGCGGGTATCCCACTCACGGGAAACGTCAGCGCGTAGCGGCGAGTGCGAAAAGCGCGCGTGCCGAGTAAGGGCACTCTTAAAAAATCCGGAGGGTTGCCGTGCCTTAGGGGTCTTCCCTGAGGCGCTCGTGCATGTGCGCGGTGTGGATACGCCGCAGGGGCGTTACCACGTGGCGCCTATGTGGTGTTGAGACGCCACATTTATAATAAAAATTTTATAGATAAAGGGGTCAAAAAATTCCCATCATAATTTTAACTAAAATTCGATAAAAATTAAGAATATTTTCCATGTTTAGCTATGGATATTCGCAAATTTTTTTCTAAAAGCAAAACTGGTTTAGAAGATATAGTCCAGAACCATCTACAAGTATATAACCGTTAAATGAATTAGTTGCAAGACGTAGAGGTAGACGATACTATCTATGAAGAAAACGTACAAAATTTTTGATACTCTCAAGAGATTTACCTTGCAAAAGAGAGTCAATAAAGCAAATACGTCTACATAATTATCCCAAACAAAATTTTCGTTCATTTCAAGTTAAATGGTTCTCTAAATTTCAATAGTTGCAATATTCACGTGAGAGATGCAGCATTTTGCTATGCTTGTATGCAATTTGAGACACCTGGTAATAAGGAGAAAATATTTACTAAATCAGGATTTCGATCATGGAAGCATGCGTTAGATGCAAGAGGTTTTCTGAGATATGAACAAAGTATACACTATTTGCAAGCAATAGCATTATGGCAAGAAAAGATGCACAGAACCGACACTTCTCAATCTATTTCTATGCTTATTAATTCAAATGTACTTGAAAAAATCGCTATTATATTAAATCTATTGCAGAAATTGTTCAATTTTTAGTGGTAAATGAACTTGCCTTGTAGGGACACTTTAATATCAAAGATGATGAACAAGGCCTTTTTAAAAATGTATTTGAATATACTTTAAAAAAAAGACAAATATCTTTCAGAATGTCAATTAACAATTTTAAAAAACGCAATTTACACATCTCCAGAAATACAAAATGAAATTATAGCTGTAATTACAAAAATTGTGCGAGAAAATGTTGTCCAAGAAATAAACAGTATTGACGTAAATTGGTTTACTTTATTAGAAGATGGAACACATAATAAAACACAACAGAGAAAATATATCAATTGCTATTAGATATGTAAAAGATGGCAAAGTTAAGGAATCACTTCTCATCTAAACAACTACTAAAAAATTAAACGCGGAGACATTCACACAAGAAACTTTAAAAGTTTTAAAAGAGAATAACTTAAAAACAGACTATCTTCTAAGTCAATGTTATGACGGAGCAAGTGTAATGAGTGGTAAAGTAGGAGTTTCAGCACGTATTCAAAAAGCAGTTAAAAAGACTGTGTCCTATGTACATTGCTTTAATCACAGATTGCATTTAATCATTATAAAAGCAATATCCGAAATTACAATTCTAAAGCATTTTTTTACCAGTGTGTCACATTGCATGAGTTTTTTCATCATGCTACCTTAGCATCCTTAGCAATAGAATTTATCCGTAAAAAGGCAAAGATGTACATATCAGTGAAGAACAAATCAAGACAGTGGCGGAGGACGTATGTTTCCTTACTTATTTTAACTTATGTTTAAAAACAATTTGACATATATTCATGACATATTTTATCAAGATTTATCAATTTTTATTTTACATATATGGAAAAGAAATTTTATAACTTTTGTTAGATTAGGTTGTTAGGTTTTGTTAGATTATATTTCGCGGTTTTTCGATATATTAGTCAATTCTTTTCGAGTTTTTATATGGATCAAATAAAGTATTCTTATAAAAGGTAAAATGAACGGCATGTATATTTAATAAATTTTATATAATTTTGGATAAATACTTTCGGGTTTAACCTTTAAAAGACGGGCGTATTTTTTTGTAACCTTTGTAATTTGAAGTAAGAATTTTTATATTTTTATTATAGTGTTGTACCATGAAAAATAAGCGACTCTTATAGACCCAAAATATTGGCTTCCCGTCCTCTAAAGATTAATATATACACACATGAAAAGGTTATTAATTATAAAAATCTCTCCTCCAATTTTAAAGTCGACCAGACTGGCAATAATTTATTTAAAAAATTAGTTAAATTACAACGTTTCGGCTGTCATTGCAGCCCTTTTCAAGTAATCAGATTAATACAATAAATCAAATTTACAGCAAACCCCCGACAAAATTAACCATTGTTTTGATGAACAATGTATAACTGACAGAAGTGAGCACGAAAAAATAGATGTTGACTGTTAGCAGAAAACTTAGTCACTCTGACTAACAGTCAACATCTATTTTTTCGTGCTCACTTCTGTCAGTTATACATTGTTCATCAAAACAATGGTTAATTTTGTCGGGGGTTTGCTGTAAATTTGATTTATTGTATTAATCTGATTACTTGAAAAGGGCTGCAATGACAGCCGAAACGTTGTAATTTAACTAATTTTTTAAATAAATTATTGCCAGTCTGGTCGACTTTAAAATTGGAGGAGAGATTTTTATTATTTATTACTGGCGACTCTTAAGGATTATCATTTATGTTATTAATTATATCGAACTAGAAAAAAAACATTTTTCCATCCTACGAAATTAATTTTTAACAAGTATGATATTTAAGGAACAATTATTCTTTCTTTTAACTTATTTTCTATTGTGCAATTTTCACGTTTACACATACAATTAATTGCATAATATATATTACATAGGTTAGGTAGCCCAATTATACGAAGGAAAAAATATAGTGCGACTCTTAGAACAGCGATGGTCGGGTCACTTGGCAGCGGCTAAAGTAATTTTTCTAATTATAGTAAAATACTTAAAACATTAGAGGAAATTCCCCCAAAAAATTCAATGGTGGCGACATAGCAAAAAGTGTTGGGCTGCTTAATGTTATGAAAAAACTTGACTTTCGTTTTGCTATGGTTCTAGCAAATAAAATATTATCGATGCTGGGAATCAGCCGATGCTGCTAGCATCGCTAGCGGGAAAGAGAGAGACGGCTGTCACTAAGCCGCAGCGCAACGTTTAGCGAACGCGTCCGTTCGGGCCATTGTATACCGCCAGCCGTGATAAATATTTGTTTAACACGTATCTTTTCGTTCCTTCTAGAAAGACCCGAATAATAGAATTTGTTGTCGGATTGTTTTTCCCGCCGGATCTTTCTAGATTCTAGAAGGATCAGTGTCCTTAAGGTAACATTTCATGAGCAGTGAAAAGCAGCAGCATTCTGGAAAGTAACTAGATTCGATGACGTACTTCCGGCGCAAGTTTTTGCTGTTTGAAGTTCATCCTGTTGAACAGCAAAGCAGTAAAAGCGCTAAATAGTTATATGCATATGGACATATATTTGAAAGTATGGAACCTCCAGAGGTAAGTTTGTATTAACTATAATTATAAAAATAATTGTAAGTTAATAATAGTTAGATAATAATTAGTAATAATAGGTACATAGATAAATAGATATGTTTTATTATTAAAAATTAATTCAGACGAAATCTATATATAATTGAATTTGTTTACATCATTGGATTAAAAATATTATAGACATATATTTTTGAAACTTTTGAAATTAATAATATATACATACGGTATTTCATTCTTAACTTAGATATGAAATAATTAATCACAAATCATTTGATACATAAATTAGGTTAGATTATAGATTAGGAAACACTCTAATATAATATATATATATATATATATACATATATATATGTATATATATATTGACAATGCTTACCTTGTTAATAACAATTAACTTATTTATTCTTATTTAAAAATTTATAATGTTTAAATTTTCAGATACAAATGGTAAATACATGTGAAGTATGCGAAATTATTGTTGATGAAAATGAAATTCTTCAACATCCTTGTCTGGAGAATTATAATCGTGTGCATATCGATAACAATCGCTATTTTTATCCAGTGTGTGGTAAGACAAGTAAAGATTTTATTACATATTGTGAAGTAATAATTTTTAATGGATACGTTATTTATATACATAGACAATGGGACTATCATAAGGCACAGTGATATAGGCAATAACACAGAAGCCATTGTAGAAGACATTATCAATGTTGAAAATGAACCATCCACAAGTTCACTTAGTACTCAAGAAACTGAGGATATAGAGGAATTACTTATCGAAGAAGTATCTCGAAGAGAAATTCTCTATAATTATAACATTCCCATCACACAGCGTAATAGACTGGCAATCAATGAGCAATGGCAACAAGTATCAACAATGTTAAATGGTATGTGATGTTAATGTTATGATTATTATCAAAAATAAAACAACAATGTTTGCATTATACATACATTAATACTTATACACACATATATATATAATATTAATAGGCCGATTGAGTGCAAAAGAAGCTCAAAAGAAATGGAAAATATTGTGAGACACATTCTGCCGCAAAATAACTGAAGATAAGCAGCCCAGCGAAGCTGCAGGATCAAAGAAAAAAAAATGGAAGCACTTTGACAGAATGCTGTTTTTAAAGGATACTCTCATTACAAAACAGTATGTATAAATCTAAATTACTTTGTTTTTGGAATTTTAGGAATAAACCTAGATTTATGTAACAAATTTGATTGGACTATTATAACTTCATTAGTGCCATTTCTATTATGTAATTATTATTTAACACTATAGGACTACAACAAATTTAGAATCTGGATCAGGAGAAGCAGCAGACCCCCCCTTGAATAAAAAACGTAACGTAATGATATCAATTATAATTCTTATTCATTCACTGAATAATAATACATATATTTATATGTATTATTCAGTGGATACAAGGGAGTTTAATGAATAATTACGTTACCGATGATTTGTAATGTCATGATGTTTTAAGATCCTTATCTTAAATCCATCATAATAAATCCCCTTTTATTTATTGTAAAAATTGTTTTTGTTGTAAGTATTATTTTATTTTTTAGGACGCACAACTCATTCAGATATGAAAGAACCAAATACAGCAATTCAGCAAATTGCAGATGCTATATCTACAATTGCAACTCCTATGCAACCGTTAACATTGCCACCATCTCCGACCCTAGACGAAGTAGATGGATTATTTTTGATACTTGGGAGTCAGTTAAGGCAACAAACAGAAGAGCGAAAAAGGACTTTAATTTTAGAAATATTGCAATTTATGTATGAAAAATTAAACTTCTAAATGCTATCTAATATTACTTCTTACTATGCTTCGCTTTATTTGCAAGAAAAATATTTTGTATTTTTTTAAACATATATTTTATAGTATACATAATTTATGATAATACATATTTTATATTGTACGTGGTCCTAATAAATAATTATTTTTTTATGCAAAATCAAATTTATTTATTTAATGATCCAAAACAGTTTAATAAATAAATAAATAATAAATATTTAGACGGACTGGATTTCATATTACATTCATTTTACAGCTGTTAATTGATTATAAAAGGAAAAAGAGTTTTCAGATAATTTTACAAGTATGCCAAAGACTTTTGTAGTGTTGTTACATTGATATATCTTTTTATCTAAAAATGGCACGCAAAAATTTTAAGTGTGTATTTTCTCGCTTCTGACGTCACGATTCCGACATGATCGACGAGGAACAAGAAGCCTTAATAATTTAATAATGAAATCATAGAAATTATTGTAAGACTGATAAATTTAACATTTATTTATTTAAAAACTTGTACAAACTGCCATGGAATAGCGCCTTCTTCATTAAAATAATTCATAAATTTTTGTCGGATTTCAGCAGACGTTCTTGTATATGTGTGTGTTGAGCAAGAAGACAATGGTTGCAGGACACTGTTGTCTAGTTGCACAATTTTTCTCCAGTTGCCTTCAATAATGGAGCCATCATTTGCTTCGTCAATCATACCAGCAGATATAAATGACTGCTCTCTATTTGATATATCTTTTTTGCGTAGCCAATTGTGTAAAGTTATTGTTGCTTTCACTATGTTTTCAATAGTCTCAACTTTTCCTATGATAGGTTTTCTATATATTCGCCATTGAGCAGCAAGAATCCCAAAAACATTTTCTATTGTTCTTCTTGCTCGACTGAGTCGGTAATTGAAAATCTTCTGTTCTGTTGACAAACGATCTCTTCCAGAAAAAGGACGCATCAAGTATGGACTCAGTGAAATGCTTCGTCTGCAACTAATACATAAGGGTACTTGGAACTTCCTTCATAAATTTCTTCGGCAGGTGGAACATTCATTTGTCCCTGTGCAAATTTTTGTCCCATTAACGAATTTTTAAAAACACCACTGTCGCTCTGTCTACCATAGGCACCAATGTCAACATATGTGAAAACATAGTTCGCATCACAGATTGCTAGTAATACAATACTGAAGGATTTTTTATAGTTGTAATAAGCAGAGCCACTGTGTTGAGGACTCTGAAAGAAAAATAGAATTTGAGTTATAGAGTAACTGCGTGAATTATATGCAAATTTTGATTCAGATATGCAGAAAACCATTTTATACCTGTATAATAACATGTTTGCCATCCATTGCCCCAATACAATGTGGAAATTGCCATTTAATATTCATTTCATTTGCAATCTCCCTCCATTCTTTATGTGTGTGTAATGGAAGTACAAGAGGGTACAATGTATCCCATATAACTTCACATGTTTCACGAATAATTTGAGAAACTACTGTTTGGCTAACCGAGTACTGGTGTGACATGGATGCCATACTGTCACCACTAGCTAAGTATCTAAAATATTAAAATTTTACTCCTTTCTACTTACAATAAAAGGATAATAGAAAAAACTACATATTATATATTGCATTACCTTAAACATATTATGAAACGTTGTTCCGTTTCAATGAGTTCTCGAATGGCATATTGTCGGTGTATTCTTGGCGCAATTAATGCAAGTAACTCTTCAAATTGAGTACAGTTCATCCGAAAATAATTCTTAAATCGGAGATCATCTAATTTCAACATTGGGAATACCAAGTAATAAAATCCTATGCGTCGTCGTTGCTTATAAACTTCAGCTATCCAATATCGTTTCTTTTTGTATTTTCTTTTAATACTTGTGTAAACTGTCGCTACTACAGCTGCCGCTATTACAGCTTGTTTTTGATTTATTTTTGCATTATACTCATTAATTTTAAGTATACACTCTGTTTTCCACTGATATAATTTTTGATTATACGACATAGTGCTAACGATTTAAAACACTGCACAGGAAACCTCCCAATAAGCACAAGTACATCCTATGTACGTACAACGGATGTCCGATCCGGACATTGTGTACATCCATCGGATGTCCAGATTACCTGCAGCGGACGTACAAGGGACGTCCATTGTACGTCCGTTTGCAACTGGTCTGGACGTCCATAAGTCGTCCATTATTGGTCATTTATGGATTTTAAATGGATAAATTATGTATCTAACGGACGAATTTTGGATCTCATATAAACTAATTATGGATCTAATGGACGAATTTTGGATCTTTTATGAATAAATTTTAAATCTTTAATAAACATATTTTGGTTCTTTATTATACATGTATATCATTGAAAATGACATTTAAAATTCATAAAGAAGAAATTTATAAGCAATAATAAATTTGACATGCAAAATTAATTCATTTTTATACTAATCATAAAATATTGCAGAATATTTCTTATTTTCGCATTTTATTTATCCGAATTTTTATTTGTTCAATTTTTTCAATTAATTTAATATCTAAATTTTTTGTGTTGGGATAGTATCAGAAAGGTTAAACTGATCAGAATAATTATAACATATTTAACTGTAATAGCCACTTTTTGCATGCGCTTTATAATTCTCTTAACTAAATTTAATAGCGAGATGAACAGCGAATCTTGCGTCGCATAGCGGCAAATGAAGGAACTATTACAAGATAATATTGCATAGTATATTTTGCAATGTCTCCAATAAAATATTAAATTTATAATATTTGCACAATGTTGCTTCAATATTTATTATGATACAATGAAATAAAATATTTATGCAATATTTTAGCAATATTTCGTGCTGTAAGAGAATTTGATGGACATCCTGTGGACGTCCAAATATTAGTCACTGATGGATGTCCGAAATCGGATGTACAATGGACGTTCATTTCATGTCCATGGACGTACATACGTAAAATGGATATAAAATGTACGTCCATAGGACGTCTTGTGCTATCTGGGCTATTTCATGGGCAGCGCAGCAATTCTGTGAATTCACCAAACAATACTAGTTAGTTACTAAACTGCTGCTGCTTTTCACTGCCACAGATTAATAGACAGATCGCCAAAGGTCTGGATGAAGGAGAGACCAGCATTTCTCACTGATTTCAGCGCCATATCGTAGTAGTGGTCAATGCAGTAACTATTAATACGTTCCCAAGACACAGATTAATAGACAGATCGCCAAAGGCCTGCCTAAAGAAGAGACCGCCATCTTCGTGCGATAGACTTTGCCCCTTACCGACACACTTTGCCCCTGGTTCGAGTCCGTGCTAAATTTCGTAGACTTGAACCAAAAGACTTTGCCCCTGGTTCGAGTCCGTGCTAAATTTCGTAGACTCGACCAAAAGACTTTGCCCCTGGTGCAAGTCCAGGCTAAATTCGTTTGACATTACCAACAGACTTTGCCCCTGGTGCGAATCCAGGCTAATTGATCATGAGACCAATTTGAGAGATTTGGCCCCCGTTGTGTGTGTGTGTGTGTGAGAGAGAGAGAGAGAGAGAGAGAGAGAGAGAATATTTTACAAATATGCATATATATATATAAAATTTATTAAATATAAAAAATATATTTTTTACACATAAAATGTTTTTTTATTGAAATAATCACGATTTTAAATGTGATATAACACAGTGTTCAAAAATTTTTTAATTAAATTTTTTAATTAAATTTTATTAAAGAAAATTACTTGAAATTTTTTACATTTGAATTTAAAGGCTCCTTATTCTCTTGTAGAAATTTATCACTACGCCAATTAATCACTTATTTTGAGTATTTAAAATACTATAATATACAGTAATTTAAGTATTCGAAATAAAAGTGATTAATTACTCGAAATAAGTGATAAATTGGCGTTACTAGTAATAAATTTCTATAAGGGTTGAAATAAAGTATAAAAGATAAATAGGCTATATGTGAGCCGTATGCGAAATGTGAGATGTAAGACGCATATTGAAATTTAATTTTTCGATATAACCCAGATAGCACAAGGCGTCCTATGGACGTTCATTTTATATCCATTTTACGTATGTACGTCCATGGACATGAAATGAACGTCCATTGTACATCCGATTTCGGACATCCATTAGTGACTAATATTTGGACATCCACAGGATGTCCATCAAATTCTCTTACAGCACGAAATATTGCTAAAATATTGCATAAATATTTTATTTCATTGTATCATAATAAATATTGAAGCAACATTGTGCAAATATTATAAATTTAATATTTATTGGAGACATTGCAAAATATACTATGCAATATTATCTTGTAATAGTTCCTTCATTTGCCGCTATGCGACGCAAGATTCGCTGTTCATCTCGCTATTAAATTTAGTTAAGAGAATTATAAAGCGCATGTAAAAAGTGGCTATTACAGTTAAATATGTTATAATTATTTTGATCAGTTTAACCTTTCTGATACTATCCCAACACACAAAAATTTAGATATTGAATTAATTGAAGAAATTGAACAAATAAAAATTCGGATAAATAAAATGCGAAAATAAGAAATATTCTGCAATATTTTATGATTAGTATAAAAATGAATTAATTTTGCATGTCAAATTTATTATTGCTTATAAATTTCTTCTTTATGAATTTTAAATGTCATTTTCAACGATATACATGTATAATAAAGAACCAAAATATGTTTATTAAAGATTAAAATTTATTCATAAAAGATCCAAAATTCGTCCATTAGATCCATAATTAGTTTATATGAGATCCAAAATTCGTCCGTTAGATACATAATTTATCCATTTAAAATCCATAAATGACCAATAATGAACGACTTATGGACGTCCAGACCAGTTGCAAACGGACGTACAATGGACGTCCCTTGTACGTCCGCTGCAGGTAATCTGGACATCCGATGGATGTACACAATGTCCGACCGGACATCCGTTGTACGTACATAGGATGTACTTGTGCTTATTGGGAACTTTCAAAAATGTACACGAGGTACAAAAAATTAGCTTGGACATTTGTAAGACTTAAAATTGGGATTAATTCTCAATTCTATTAATTAAATTTCGATATAACACACCTTACATCCGCGCACGGCTCACATATAGCCCATTTATTAGTGCAATTTTTAAGTTCCTTATTTTTCAAAGTTCACCTTTTTACGTTATCAAATATTTTGGTACGTTTTCAAGAATTTTATATTTTTACTTACCGCAGTTTCTTATCCAAATGTAAAATCTTTTATCGCAGTCTATAAAAAATTGAAACAATTTACAATTTTATGATATAATATTATTATTATTACAATTTCTATATATATGCACATCTGTCAAATATCGTGATTTATTTCACATTATTATTATCTATTTTAATAAAAAAAAAAAAAAAAACACTTGCAACAATCAAAAATAAACCGCCTGCCGCGAACGGAAAATGCCAAGAAAGCACGCAATTTCCGCGAATCTCGTAATTTTTTTGAAAAATCAACAATTTCAACGAAATTGTAAATTCTTCAAATCACTGCACAAGTATAATTCACAATAATAATTTTCAGTAACTACGATAAAAAATCGTATACTGAAAACCGCAAACGAAAGTGCAATGGGAGTAAGAGTAAAGTCTGTGATAAAATTAATTGGCAATAGAAAATTAATAATTTTCAAATAGAAAAATTTTGAAATTACCGAGGATTTACAAATAATAAAGTAAAAATATTAAATAATTTATGTTTTCGAATTTTGCTCGCGGAGAGGATCTTTAAAACAAGATTTTTAGAAGAGAGGACCTTTAAAATATAAACAGGCAAAAACGTTGGAAAAATTAAAGCGCGCGTTTAAACAGATAAACGCAATGAAATAAATACGCAATTGTTTTTACTTATCGCTGTAAGCTCACAAGCTTCTGACGTGCTATACACTTTTATATAATATATACAAGGTGTCTGGTAACTAACGGACCAATGATTAAGGGCGGATTCTCTGGCCAATTTGGAGACGATTTTTCCTTAGCAAAAATGTTGAGAAGTCAATAATTTTCGAGTTATAAGCGATTGAAAAAAATAGGTTTTTTGAAAACTAAACGTTTTGGAGTTAAAAGTCTAACATAATTACATTCTTCAGTTAATTTCAGGTAGAGTTTACTATAATAAAATTTTAATTTAAGGCTTAGTTATAAAGATACATAATGACAAAGATTGGAAAGTTGTAAAAAATGATGACCTTTTTCGACATTTTCGCTGAGGAAAAATCGTTCCCAAATTGACCAAAGAATCCATTTGTAATCATTGGTCTGTTAGTTACCGGACACCCTGTATATTGGACACGAGTTTCGTTTGTTTCAGATTCTCGAGAGTTGAAGTAGGAACATACGAGTATCATATATCGTTTGTGACTTGCCGAATGAAAGCAAGACAGAGAGCGAACGAGATGATGAGCTTAATAGCTCATAATGTTATAAATAAATAAATAAAAAATTATAACCTGACCTACTAGTTATTGAATCTTTTTTTAATAAAATGTTTCATTATTATTATCATCTAAGTCTAAGTCGTTTAATTACTTTTTAGTTTTTTAATAATTAATTTAATTTATTCTAGTCATTTTTATATGAGAAAAATAATATCACGTATACGTTTTATAATGAATTAATATATTTCGGGAACCGAATTATATATTCTTAATAATATAAAAGTGTTCAAAAATTATATTTGACTTTTAATTTTAATTATTTTTTAGCAAAGAGTTCCGAAATCTCTTACACACATAATGGGGATTTTTTTCATCCATATAATTCGCAATTAAGTATATATGTTAATTATTAATTTTAATAAAATAAAAATTAAAATTAAAGGTCAAATATAATTTTTAAACACAAATATATTAAATTAATTATAAAACGTATACCCATGATAGTATTTTTCTCGTACAAAAATAATTAGAGTAAATTAAATTAATCATAAAAGATTAAAAATTAATTAAAGAATTTAAACTTATATTTTATATAATAATAATAAAACATTTTATTACGTCAAACCGTCGTGAAATAATTAAATAAAATTTGCTAGTTACGTCAAAGTCAAGTTTTCTAAGCTTATAAAACATTTTATTAAAAAACAGATTCAATAAATATAAGTACATGTTATATATATACTTATATTTATTGAATCTGTTTTTTTTATAAAATGTTTTATTATTATCATATATAATATAAATTATTTAATTACTTTTTTATTTTTTTATGAGTAATTTAATTTGTTCTAGTTATTTTTGTACGAGAAAAATACTATCACGGGTATACGTTTTATAACGAATTAAATATATTTAT